CGGTGGTGGGAAGTTCGCCCACCACGCCTGGTCTCCCGCAGCGGTCCGCCTCGGCTCCCCGTGGCCGCCCTCCGCGCAGTCGACCCCGCCAGCTCCCTGGGGCGGGCCAACGAGGCCTGCGAGGCGGGCGGGCGGGCGCTGCCTCTGCACCCCGAGGAGCAGCGCGACGCCCGGGGCGCCGGAGCATGCTTCTGCTGGGGAGGCGTAGGACTCGGGTACGGGGACTCGGGTGGGCCTGACGGGGCCGTCATAAAAATGACGAGGCCCACTCTGAGATTTGACGCGAGCTCCCGCGGCAGACATCCCACGAACATTGGATCGTCAAAATCCAGGACGCGCTCGTCAAAAAAACGTCGGCAAACCCGAGTTCCGGCTTACCCGAGTCTTACGTCTCTCCGATTCTGGAGGGCCGGGCTCATCCTGGGAGCACTGGCAGTGCAACTTCCCGAGCGGCCCGAGGCAGGCTGGCGTGATGAGGTCCTGGCTGCGAGCAGCCGCGAGCCTGGAGGCCTCCCAGATGGGCTCCGAGCAGATGGGGTCGGAGGATCGCGCCGCATCGCGGATACATCGGCGATGAATCAGTGATGCATCGGCGATGCACCGGCGATGCATCGTCGACGTGGGTGATGCATCGGCGACGTCGGCGTGGAGAAAATCGGGCTCCACATCGAGCCGCAGCAGCGATGCATCGGCGATGCGGCGCGAGTTTCCGACCCCGTCTGCTCGGACCCCATCGAGGAGGCCCAGAGAGCCAGGGGCCGTCGTGCCCGCCAGCCTCGAAGCATGGCGGTGGGTCCGGCGTCCGCTGCCACTCGGGCGGGCCGGAAGCTGCAAACTGCGCCTCCTCCCGGGTGTCTCCCGCCATCGGCACCGCGCGCCCCTGGGCCATCGTGCCTGGATCACCCATCGGTCGGAAGAAGCAGGTAGAACCATGAAGTGGGAAGGCGTTGGAAAGAGATTGGGCTTCCGCCCGCCTCCTGTAGAGGATGGAAGAGGGAACACCACTCGACTCCTGAAGCAAGAAGGCGGCGGAAGTGGATTGGGCACTGGGAATCCCGAAATACCCATGTTCAACGACCGATGGGTATAGCTCCGGGGCAGCGACAGGGGGGAGAGGGGCATTGGCCCAGGAGGGGATGCCTCGACCCCCGCATCGCCCCTCTTTTCGCCGCTCGGGGCCCGGGTGCCCAGCCCCGCCCGGGAAGGCTCGGTGTCGCTATCGGGGGCCTCTCGCTCATCCATCGGCGACGCATCGCCGATTCCAGGTCTCTATCCCCCCCCCCCGAGCCGCACCGCCCCCCCTCCCAGACCCCCAGCGTCCTCTTATTTTCACAGCGTCGACCCCCAGAGATCTCGACCCATTCCCTGGGACCAGCTCCCCATCCCGAGTCCTTTCATGTTTGCCCTGGGGCACGGTGAGCCGAAAAGTACCAAAAACCGTCCGCCATGATCTGTTCAGGACCCAGGGGGGTCTGGGCATCGCTCCCCCGCAGTGGCGCGTGAACCCGGCCGCGTCCTGCGTGATTGCACGTCGTGGTCGTGGGAGTCTTGAGCCAGCGTGCTCAAGGCCAGGATGGGCGCGACGAGGCGCCGAAGATGGAGGAGGAGGAGGAGGAGGAGGACGAGGTGGAGGAGGGGGAGGGGGAGGGGGAGGAACAGGAGGAGGAGGAGGAGGAGGAGGAGGAGGAGGAGGACGCACTGGGCTGTGCTGTCCGAGCTGGGCTACCAAGCGACGACTAGGTTGTACACGCTGTACCGTGCGAGCCTACGGGCGAGCGGACAGCGTGTCGCTCCGCCCACCGGGGCGGGAGGCTCGGAAAAGCTTGGGACACTGACGCTTGGGACTTGAGAAGTGGTTAGCGTGTCGCGCCGCGGCGTGGTGGGCCTGAAGTGGCATCGCGACACGCCAATAGGGGAACGAAGAATGACATAAACATAAAAACTCGGAGGTCCGCGCGGATTTCTCGGATCGGCGCGGGGGCCCCCTTGCGGCGCCTCCGGCGCCGCCCCTAGCGCGCTCCGCACGCCAGGGAGGGGGGTCCAGCGCCGATCCGAGAAATCCGCGCGGACCTCCGAGTTTATATGTTTATGTCATTCTTCGTTCCCCTAGCCAAGCAAACGCTCCTGACCGCATACTTGGTGTTCTGTCTTGTCTGCAGGTGCTGGGACAAGGTGGCACAGAGTCGAGGCAATCTACCACTTCGGCAATCTTGGGGGCCTCTTGGGCCGCCGCCATGGAGCGCTAGAAGACGGAACATGCGAGAGCGCCAAACTCGCTCAAAACCTAAATTGAGTCCTCGTGCGGGTCTTATTAGAGCCCTCTTGGGTCGTCTTGGAGGCCTATTGGGCAGTCTTGGGTCATCCTGGGCGTCTTGGACCTGAATTGCTGAAAGAAGGCCGACCTGGCCTGAAGATCATCCAACATGAGAAAGGGAAAACTTCTCCCTGAGGGTGGTGCTCGCCCCCGGGACACCCCCGCCATTACCCCCCCTGGGCAGGGAATAGATCAAAGGTAAGGGGCTTCCTTCGACACCATCACGGGAAGGGGCTTCCCTTCGACACCATTACAACCTGGCTCGATTCACCTCGGGCTGGGGAGGTTGGAAGGCCAAAGGTGGCCGCTGGGAAGGGACGAACAAGTTCGACTCCACGAGCGTCTTCCAGGACTATCCTAGGACGACTGGCCCGACTGGCCCAAAACTCTCCTCACATACGCCAACAAGGTCGGCAGATTTTCATTGCGAGTGACCGGCCATAGCGATTGCAGGCAGGAGCCATGAACGTCCTTGGCAACCAGCTCCAGCGTCCCTCAGGATGAATAGAATTCTTGGTCGCTTGCTGGTCCTGGATCTCGGCTGCAGGCGTTTCTGCAACGTCGCGCGTCCGTCATGCATTGGCACTCCCCTGACCCGCCTCTCCCTGGGCCTTGCCCCTAACCCCTGCACTTGGCGAAGGTCCAGACAGCCCCCACAGCACCGCTCCCCCCCTGCTGTTTTACCCTGCTCTGCACTTGGCGGCGACCTTGGCGGCGATCTGGCCTGGGTCGCTCCTTGCGAGGTTTACCCTCGAGCCTCGAGGCTTGAGGGAGGAAGTTCTTGGCCGTGTCTGGAAAATGTTCAAGACGTGTTGTGATCGTCCTGACCTCCAGGCACCTCCCAGGAGACTCCGTGATAGGGGAGGTCAGGGGTCCAGCCAGCACCACAACTTGAAATGAGGGGCAACGTTCGGGAGGGACCGACTCAAGAAAGGGAACGTCGACGTGGAATCGGGGGCGCGCAAACATGAATTAGCGCTCCATGGATTTGGAGCGCGGTCGCCAAATCCACGGATCGAGGGGAGGCGCCCTCCCTCAAACGCGGCCGGTACCGCCTCGGTCGGCGGCGAAACTCCGCGATTTCCCCTGGAAACGGGACCCATCGCCAATCCACGCCCCCTTGACCCCTGGTTGGGGCCATCGGGCCCCTGTCGGCCATTGATCAAGGGGGCGATTGGGGGACGGTGTGCCCCTCCCCCAAGATCGGGTCGGGCGAAAGGGGGGGATAGCAAAGGGGGGGTTTGAGAATCAGCTCACGTAGCTGATTTTCCCGGCGCCTCCCGGCGCCGGAGGCGGCTATGTATCGAGGAATGGGCCCCTCGGTGAGGCCGAAACCAGCTGCATGCAGCAAATTTCGTAATGCCCCCTTTCCCAATCCCCCCCTTTCGCCCGACCCGACAAGAGCCTATCCCCTGCTGGCTCTCGGGTCACAGCTCGGGCGTCCGGCGGCCCGCCCTGACGACCCGGGCACCACGGAGCCGCTCTCGGCGAGGCGCAGCCGCTGGAAGGCATCCCGGGGGCTGGACAGCCGCAGAGAACCAACGGACGTGCCCGAAGGCCACGAACCTCGAAGCCTGGAGCCCCTGAGCCCGTCCCTCCCCGCCCTGCCTTCGGATCCGCCGTGCCCTGGTTGCTGCTCCGACCTGAGCCTGTGTGTCGGAGGCGCTCCCCAGAGGGTGCCGAAAACGTAGAGCGAACACGCCCGAATGAGGAGGGTGGGGCGTTAGCGCCTCCTCAAAGGCATGGCAGAAACGGCGGCAGCAAACTTCGGGGGAAATCGGCATCAGAGAAGCCTCAAAAGTATTGAGTCGGGCCTGCCCCTCTACAGGAGGGATATACCAAAATTGTCGGGAAATAGTCTGGGGACGATTTTTTTACTACTTTTGGTCATTTGGGAGTCTTTTTCTGCGTTTTTTGAATTTTCGCCCAAAATCCCCCTGCAGGGGGGACAGGCCCGACTTGACAGAGGTACGGCCGGGCACGTCCGCTCGGCGCGTCGCCGCGGCGTCGCCCCGGCGGCCCCCACCTATCACCTCCTGCGAGCGGGCGGCGTGGCGCTCCGTCCCGCGATGCGCGGGAGCTCGGGGCAGGCTCCCGGGACGTCGACGCCCCGGGGCCGGGACGTGCACGGCGCGCCGCGCCGTGCACGTGGCGGGCCAGGACTCGCGGAGCGACGCGCAATGAACCGGAGCTCCTGACAAGATGGTGCTGGAGGCTCAGTCTGGGCCCACCCACACGATCGTTTTCCGAGCGAAATCCGCTCTGTTGAGCAGGGACCGACCGTCCCGGCATTCCTATAGTCCTACCACGAAATGTTCCGAGAACCCCAAAGATATTCGAATAACAAAAACAATGTTCTAAGAACATAAACCCGATGTGTTAAAACAAGACGATCTCAACCAGATATGTTCGAAGAACATTTTGTGTAAACCACAAAAGGTTCTTGGAACCTTGTTTGGTGGGGCTATGGGCGAGCCATGGACGCTCCGCCACTGCTCGACTCTGCGATGTTGGCGCCATGACCCATGGCCTCGCCATCGCTCGGACGTCCATTCCCTGTGTTTTGTGTTTTTTTCGCCAAATGATCAAGGATGCTCCTCGATGGCCCTCGCCGAAGGAAACATGCACACGTCCGAGCGATGCCAAGTGGCTGGCCACCGAAGCAGCAGCTGCACCCCCCGCTGGCCTGCGCGCCGGCGCCCAGGCGACCGTCGCCCGCGAGCTCCGCCAGCGGCCGCCCGACGCACTCCGGCTGCGAGGGCTGCCCGGCGCGGCTGCGGCCGCCTGCCGGGGCCGCCCGCCGCCCGCCGCCGCCCGCCGCCGCCCGCCGCGGGGGAGGGGGGCGTCGCCGTCGGGCGGGGGCGCGACGCGGCAGGGTCGACGAAGGCGACGCGAGCGCGGGGGGGAGGGGGGAGGAGGCGGAGGCCTGTTCAGAGGGCGGAGAGACTTCTCGGAGGCGCTCCGGCGCCTGCAGCACGGACTGAGGGAATCTGAGGAGCAGGAAGTGGTTCGGCCACGAGTCTGCCGGCGGCTGAGGCCCTGCACGCCGCCACGCCGCGCTGGTCCCGGGCAGGCGGTGCTGCCCGGGTCAGGCGACGACAAGACTGAGAGCTACGCAGCACCCCGCAACTGCGGGTAAGAGTGAGGGGGCGGGCGCGGGGTGGGTCGCGGGGTGGGTTGCGGGTTGGGTCGCGGGTGGGTCGCGGGGTGTCGCGGGGGGGGTCGCGGGCGACGTCGACATCAAACAACCAACAACAAACAACAGACAACAAACAACCAGACAAACATCATCAACAACAACAACAATAATTTCAAAACTATTTGCTCTCAGATGCTCGCGTGTCAACGCATATGTGTATATCCAAGCCATCGATACCGGCCCTCTTCGTCTTTGATCGTACCCCATTGGAGGATAGATTACTTCCCTGCCACGTGTAATTGGCGCAGCCCCTACAACGGGAAGAACAACAAACATGGAAAAGGGAGACGGAGCAGGACGGGAGTGGGGGGAGGCAGGGAGGGAAAGGGGCAAGAGGGAATACGAGCTGAAAGACGAAAAGGATCAGCGAGAGGGCGTAGCAAGAGGGACTGGCAAGGAAGCCTCAGGCGAGATCGCAAACTTCGAATAGAGTATGATAAAACCCAGAGAGAGAGAGAGAGAGAGAGAACAAGCAAAAAAAAGAAAAAGAGCACGATTCCAGAGTGCCGAGAGAATGGCTCGTGAATAATTGGTCCGGGAACTTCTGGCGAAATAGCGACTTCTTCCTCCAACAGTGCTTGCACTTAGGGCTCCTTACTTGTGCTCTAAGAACTGGACCGTGCGGCCGCGCTGGCTGACATGTACTCGCCGTCGCCGCCCAATCGTCGCCTCGTCGCCGCCCGTCGCCTGGGCCGTGTGGCCGGTCTGGCGGCTATGTGCTCGTCGTCGCCGCCCCGTCGCCGTCTCGTCACCGCTCGTCGTCTTGGCCGTGTGGCCGGCCTGCCGGCCTGGCGGCTATGTACTCGCCGTCGCTGCCCCGTCGCAGCCCTAGATGGCACAGAATAGATTCTCCTTTCTGGAAGACTAATAGATTCTACCCCCCCCCCCGGACTTATCGGGACCCCCGCGCGCGCTGTAAATTACATATGATTCTGACCACATGTCCATCCTAAATGTGAGTTCGTACTATCCCAGCCAAGCCGGTATCCCCCCCCCCTGCGAATCCCTTGTAAAAAACACTATGCAGTGACATGTTTTGTTCTAACATAGCACTTTTTTTCACGAATCCCTTGCAACAAATGGGACGAAGTGCACACGCGCGCGTCGTCGCGCGCGCATGCCGAAATCCTTGAAAAACCTTCGGTGCCGGAAGGATTTCGCAATCGAGTTTCCAAAAAACATACAAAAACACATGGTTTCGCAACACTGATTTGCTAAAAAAACTTCCGCGCGAGGTCTTGCGAAATCTTAAGAAAACCATAGGTTTTCCAAGATTTTCATAAAATGCTACCAAACGGGCTTCGCGCGCGCGCATGTCGAAATCTGTCGAACGCCCTTGCGCGTGTGCCGTCGCGAGAATCCTCTGCAAAAAATTGGACGAAGTGCAGACGCGCGCGTCGTCGCGGGCGTATGCCGAAATCCTTCAAAAACCATCGGTTTCGGAAGGATTTCAAAATCGTGCGTCCAAAAAACCTACAAGAACCCAAGGTTTCGCAACACGGATTTTCAACAAAAGCGTGCGCGCGCGCTCTTGCGTCGTCGTCGTCGTCGTCGTCCTCCCTCCTCCCTCGTCGTCGTCGTCGTCGTCGCCGTCGTCGTCTTCTGTCTTTCCTCGTCGTCGTTGTCGTCGTCTTGGCGCGTCGTCGTCGTTTCCGTCGTCGTTGTCGCCGTGGTCGTCCTTCCTCCCTCGTTGTCTTCGTCGGCGTCTCGTCGTTGTCCCTCCTATTTCGTCGCCGTCGTCGTCGTCGTCGTCGTCGTGGTCTTCACTCCTCCCTCGTCGTTATCCTCCTCCCTCGTCGTCGTCGTCCGTCGTCGGCGTCTCGTCGTCGTCCCTCCTATTTCGTCGCCGTCGTCGTCGTCTTCGTCGTCGTTGTCATCGTCGTCGTCTTCCCTCCTCCCTCGTCGTTGTCGTCGTCGGCGTCGCCGTCCTTCCTCCTTCTTCGTCGTTGGCGTCGTCGCCGTCTTCCCTCCTCCATCGTCGTTGTCGTCGTTGTCGCCGTCGTCGTTTTTTCTCCTCCCTCGTCGTCGTCTCCGTTGGCGACGTCGTCGTCGTCTTCGTCGTCGTCGTCGGCGTCGTTGTCGTCGTCGTCGGTGTCGTCGTCGTCGTTGTCGTCGTCGAAAACATTGGAGACGTCGTCGGTGTCGTCGCAGTCGCTGTCGGCGGCGCCGTCGTCGTCGATGTCGCTGTCGTCGTCGGCATCGGTGTCGTGGCCAAGTGCCACGCAGTACCTACCGTCACGGTCTTGTCTGAAGATGTCTTGCGACCAAGTTGCGGGTGGGAGGGTGGGATGTTTGCACGAGCAGTGGAGAGGACAGCTTCAAGACAGTCGAAGTGGATTGCACAACGTAGATTGCACCACAAAGAATGCACCGCATAGATTGCACAAGATAGGGTGCACCATATGGACTGCACAATATAGATTGCACTGCGCAGCTTGCACCAATTTGTTTGCACAACGTATATATATACACACATATGTATACAAACATATGTATGTGTATGTAAATATCGCACCACATAGAGCGCACAACCTATATTGGGCAATATCGATTGCACCGTGTGTATATATATATATATATACATATATAGCACACCCAGACAGACGGTGGATGCCTGACGTATTTGAAGATAATTCCGACCGCAGGCGGCATCAGCCATCCACCCCGAAACCGTCCAGGCCTCCGGGGCGAGCTCGGGGTTCGGCACGATGGCAACTTATGATTCCCGATACCCGACGGACAGACTGAGCCGCAAGACGGGACCAAAAACGCAAAAACAGACACATATAAGATAGGAGCAGTCCCCAGGGCCACGGCATCTAGTCATTCCTAGGCGCCACGCCTGAGGCCAAGTTCCAGAGACGACTGAAACCCAAACGCTGGAAACCTTAAACCAGAAGGCGGGCGATTTCTCGAGCGAGCCTGGGAGGGTACGAGGCGGCCGCGGCGGTCCAACTGACGCCGCCAGGAGACTTGCGGGACGGGATGACGCGAGGCTTCTTTGTAGTCCGGCCACAGAGCCCCCTCTGGCCACTGCATTCCCTTGGCGGAGCGCGCCGCCGACTCGTGGCGAGCTCGCCCGAAGCTGTGCCCGGGAGCGGCTCCGGGAGACCGCGCCCGGGGAGCGCAGCCCCCGACCGGGGAAGCCGCGGCAGACCCAGCAAGGAGCCGGTGGCGGCCGGAAAGAGCGCCCACGCTGCAGCCCGGCCGGAGACCTTGGCGAGGATTCCTCGGCGCGGGCGGGGGCGCTCCGGCGAGGCTTCCTCGGCGGGGACGTCCCTGGCGAGGACCCCTCGGCCCGGCCAGGACTCCTTGGCGAGGTTTCCTCGGCGGGGGCGCCCTGGACAGGAGCTCTCGGCGCGGGTGGGGATGGGTGGGGATTCCTTGGCGAGGACTCCTCGGCGGGGGTTCCCTTGGGAGGACCCATCGGCGGAGACCTTGCGCCTCCCTGCCTGCGGACAAGCCGATTCCTGGTCAAAGGCTGCGAGGCGGGGACGTACACCCTGCGAAATGCTTAAGGAATCATGGGTTAAGAAATTCGTAGTCTCGGAACTTGAGTAAAGACCCAGAATTTCCATCGAAATCTCAGCATTTACATAGAAACATTGAGAATCATCGGAACTCTGGCCGAAAACGTAAGTTCTCTAAAGCATCGCCCAGGGTGCATCCATGCCCACCACCTGGGGGATCGATCCCCGGGGAACATGGCAGGCGGCGGGTCTGGCCGTGTCCCATCACCAGGGCGCGAGCGCATCCACGCTTATCATCCCCGGCCTGCGGAGGTCCCAGCAGAACGATTTTTCGCCGGCGGTGCTCCTGGACAAATCCCATCCCTGGACATGTGCTCTCGAGTTCGCGGGCGACCGGTTTCCCGGGCGGGGGCTGCGCCCCCCAGGTTCGGCGCTCGACCCTGAGGGCCCCCTGTCAGGGAATCGGTGCGCCAGAGGACACCGCGGCCGCGGACCGGAACTCTCTCCATTCTTCTATCTCTCTTTTCCCCCTCCCCCTCCCCCTCCCACCCCCCTCATCCTCCCCCTCCTCCTCCTCCTCCTCCTCCTCCTCCTCCTCCTCCTCCTCTCCCCTCTTCCTCTCCTCCTCCGCCATCCCCATCCTCCATCTCCTCCTCCCATCCTCCATCCTCCATCCTCCCTCCCTCCATCCCCATCCTCCATCCTCCATCCTCCTCCTCCTCCTCCTCCTCCTCCTCCTCCTCCTACTCCTCCTCCATCCTCCAGCCTCCATCCTCCTCCAGCTTCTCCTCCTCCTCCTCCTTCTCCTCTTCTTCCTCCTGTTTCTCTCAGGATCCCGAGTTGTCACGTCGGTGCCTGGGGGCCCTGAACCCCCCCCTCTGCCGCCGCCGAGGCCCGAGAGGCAGCCTGGGGACGCCTCCCGCAGGCCCGGGTGCACGATGACGGGGCGCCCGGCGAACACCATGAGGCCGCTGTTTGAGTCCTCCTCCTCCTCCTCCTCCTCCTACTCCTCGGCCTCCTCCTCCTCCTCCTCCTCCTCCTCCTCCTCCGCCTCCTCTTACTTCGCTTCCTCCTCCTCCTCCTCCTCCTCCTCCTCCTCCTCCTCCTCATCCTCCTTCTCTTTCTCCTCCCCCTCCTCCAAGAGGAGGGGGAGGGGGAGGGGGAAGCAGGAGGAGGGCGAGGACTCATCCTTCATCCTCATCGTCGCTAGCTCTCTACCCCCCCTTCTCTTCGGCGCCAGCATTATCCGGGATAGGCCTGGTTGGGGGAGGACCCTGCTTGCGGTTCACAAGTGCGGTCTGGGAGAACCCAGAAGCAGCTGGATCTGGGATAACTCCTCCTTTTGAACGACTTACACTCTGGACAAAATCTACATGGGGCAGACTGTCCCGGGGAAACCCACGTTGAGTGCAATCCAGGGGAGCTATGGCGCAAAAGCTTGAGGCCCAGATCAGAAGTTAGTCCACATCTCGTAAGAAAAAACGGGGGCCACGACCTTTCCAGAAGGACAGCTGCATATCCCCTCCAGGCCAGCCATGGAAGGGCCGTATTTTGCCCAGACCCCCGAAAGCATCCAAGTGAGCGCAAGTCAGACCCGCCAAATCAGACACCTTGTCTTGCAGGAGGAAATCCAGGAGGTATCCCTGACAACTTCCTGCCCTGATCACACGGGGCTCTGCTCCTCGTCGTTGGCCCACCCTGATAGGCAACAGAAGCACCCCTGACCCTTTTGGAGGGGACCTAAGTTAGGAGGGCCCAACAATCAAGGATTGGGGGGCTCTCTTTTTTTTCCGCAGATGCATCAGACCAGACCGCCAAACACTTCGCATCCCGAATGCGACGACGGGGACTCCAGCGGAGCGACGCTGTCATCGTGCTGTCGTCATTCGGGGGCGGGGGCTCTCCTGTTCTCGACGGCATCCCCACTCGTACCCCCCCTCGGCTCCCCTCCTCCCTCGACCGCTCCCGCCCCCCTCGCGCCCGTTCCGCCCCCGCGCTGGGGCCTCGGGGGGGCGCCACGCCCTCCCCTGGCCTCGCCGTGGCTCCGCGGAGGCCGACGGGGCTCCCCTGCGAGGCCCGCGTCCCGGGGCCAGCGCGGGCCAAGACCGCCCACGGCGTTCAACCCCTCCATCGCCCATTCCCGCCCCTCCCCCTCTGTCTCCCTACATTTCAGTCGGGCGTGTCCCCCTACAGGGGGATGTTCGGCGAAAAATAAAAAGATACCCCCACAATGCTCAAAACTGGTCAACCATACTCAAAAAATAGTCCCCAGACTGTTGTTTTTACCTAACAGCCAAGACTGATAGGTTTCTCGTGGGGTCAAAAGAGAGCATCTTGACTCCCCAGGGGGGTCTGGGCAGGATCCGGGGGATGCCGGGGAAAACCGGGGACTCCCCATTGTCACTACCAGGAACCACATTTTGACTGCCCGGAGCAAACAGAACTCCACTCCCAGACAATATTTTGAATGCCCGGAGCCAACTGTAGGCCACTTCGTGTTCTTCGCGCCCCCAGAACACCATTCCCAGGCCACATTTTCAATGCCCGGAGCCAACTGTAGGCCACTTCGTGTTCTTCGTGCCCCCAGAACACCATTCCCAGGCCACATTTTGAATGCCCGGAGCCAACTGTAGACCACTTCGTCTTCTTCGTGTTCCCAGAACACGATTCCCAGGCTAATTTTGAATGCCCGGAGCCAACTGTAGGCCACTTCGTGTTCTTCGTGCTCCCAAAACACAATTCCTGCACAATCTTTTGATTGCCCGGAGCCAGCTGTGGGCAACTTCGTGATCTTCGTGTTCCCAGAACACCAGTCCTGTGCTATATTTTGAATGCCCGAGCTTAGGCAGGCTGAGGCCGAGGCAGGCTGAGGCCAAGGCAGGCTGAGGCTAAGGCTGAGGCACGCCGAGGCAGGCTGAGGCTGAGGCTGAGGCAGGCTGGGGCTGAGGCTGAGGCTGAGGCTGAGGCTGACGCAGGCTCAGGCCGAGGCAGGCTGAGGCTGAGGCTGAGGCAGGCTGAGGCAGGCTGAGGCTGAGGCAGGCTGAGGCTGAGGCTGAGGCAGGCTGAGGCTGAGGCTGAGGCCGAGGCATGCTGAGGCTGAGGCCGAGGCAAGCCGAGGCAGGCTGAGGCTGAGGCTGAGGCTGATGCTGAGGCAGGCTGAGGCTGAGACAGGCTGAGGCTGAGGCTGACGCAGGCTAGCTGAGGGCAGGCTGAGGCTGAGCCGAGGCAATGTCGCGAGACGGCTGGCTTGAACTTAACGGCTAGGCTGAGATGATGCCGAGGCAGCCGAGCTGAGACAAGGTGAGGCTGGGGGTGGGGGGGAAAGGGGGGGGGAAGCTGGGGTCGCTGGGCGCTGAGGCCGGGCAGGCTGAGCCGAGGCAGGCGGAGGCTGGGAGGCTGATGCAAGCCGAGCGGCTGACTGATCGAGGCTGAGAAGAGCTAGGCTGAACTGAGCATGAGCGTAGTCTGAGCTGCCGGAGGGCTGAGACTAGGCCGAGGCAGGCTGAGCTGGGCTGGAGGCTGAGCTGGGCTGAGGCTGAGGCTGAGGCAAGCCGAGGCAGGCTGAGGCTGAGGCTGAAACTGAGTAGGAATCCTTAGGAATCCCTAGGAATCCTTAGGAATCCGTAGGCATCCTTAGGAATCCGTAGGCATAGTCAAGCATCCTCAGGAATCCTTAGGACTCCTTAGGATTCCATTGGATCCTAAGGCCGTTGCCACTGCAACTGTCATTGCGAATGCGACTGCGACTGCGAGAACAGCAGAATTCTACAACTGGATTCTCACCTGAATCGTAAGGGGAATGCTTCCAGATATGCTTATACACATCGCTGTTAGGTTGCTTTGCCGGGATAATACTATGTTCGAATATTTTCCCTGTAGAGGGACAGGCCCGACTTAACCCTATCTCCCTCGTGCGCGTGGTGACTGCCCGCTCTGCGTCTCTCCTTCATCCCCGCCACTCCATTGATGTGTGCCACCCCCCACCGGTAAGCGGGCGCGCCCTCGCGCCTGCCCACTGCGTAGCAAGAGGCCGCTCTGGCCTCGCTCCCTCTCCACCCACCCGCGTCGCGTACGCCCTACGCCGTGACGTCCTGTTTCTCCTCCCCTCCCTCCTCCTCTCCGCCTCCCTCTTCTCGTCTCCTCCTCCTCCTCCTCCCGCCTCCTCCTCCTCCGCCTCCGCGCCTCGCCCCCTCCTCCTCGCGCGCCTCCTGCGCCTCCCCCGTCCCCTCCGCCTCCTCCTCCTCCGTCCGCCTCCGCCCGCCTCCGCCGGGGCCGCCAGCGACGAGCACGCAGGATCCCCACGCTCGTGCAGAGACGGCACGTTCTGACGAGAATCGCGAGACGTATCCGTCCGTGGCGACGGCCCAAGACTGGAGGCCCAAGACCGGAGGCCCGCGTAGTAGCGGACGCCAACGACTCCTCCCCGCGCTGCCTCCGACCACCTCCTCCCCCTCCTCCTCCTCCTCCTCCTCCTCCTCCTGGTCTTCCTCCCTTCAACCTTCAGGGGTGTCTAGTACCCCCCAGCACTGGGCAAATGATTGTTTCCAGGGGCCAATGGAACGCCCAACAGTACCCGGCATATGATGATTTCGCCGCCGCCGCCGCCTCCGCCGTCGTCCCCGCCGCCGCCGTGTCCGTCGTCACCGACGTCGTCGCATTACTGATGCTACTTCTTGTGCTACTGTCGTCTCGTCTACTTTTCCTCTCCTGATCCTCCTGTTCCATTGCCGCTTCGCCCCTTCATCCTCGCTCTGCTCGTCGTCCTTCTTCCTGTCCTTCACCCTCCCCACTGCAGGCCGCGCTCCAAGGGCCACGATCGCTTGCAAATTAGTATTGGCTCGGCCGCGCTTCGTCCTCGCTCGCTGCACAAGGGACAGCGACTTGGCGGGGCGAGGGAGGGGGGAGGGCAGCAGGAGAGAGTGCAGGATGATGATCATGGGCAGCATCAGGGGCTGGAGCGGAAGCACGGGAGTGAGGGCGTGGGGTCAGGAGAAGATAACGCACGAGAGTTCGAGGGACGAGGGCGCTTCTTCCACGAAAACAAATCAGCACGTAGACACCTGAGCGGCAGACTGGCAACATTCATCGCCGGACTCTGTACGCTGGGAGCGCCTGGGCACGAGGAGAGCGAGGAGGGACAGCGGCAGCAGGAGACGGATCATCAGCAGGGGCGGACGAGGATGAGCACGCGGAGACGAAGGCCTCTCAGAGGCCAAAGCGGGCACCCACCACCCAACATCTCGATCCCCCCTTCTCCCCCCCACTCCCCTCTCTCTCTCTCTCGCTCTGCACCTCCTTCCCCCTCCTCGGTTCCGTCTGCGCCCCTCCCCCTGATTCCCAATCTTCCCCGCTCGGCCTTGTTCCATACCTGCCCCCCCGCCCTCCTCCTCTTCCCTCCTTCTTCTCCTCCTCCTCCTCCTCCTGATCCTCCACCCGGCCCGCACAGCCGATCCCCCGCTGGCCTGTCCAGGGGCAAGTCCTGACCAGGATATCAAAGAATTCCCGCCCGTGGCAAGGAGAGCGATCAAAGAAACCCAAACTCGTTCATTGCCTCTTCTCCTCCTCCTCCTCCTCCTCCTACTCCTCCTCCTCCTCCTCCTCCTCCTCCTCATTCTCCCCATCCACCTCCTCCTCCTCCTCCTCCTCCTCCGCCCTCTCTTCCCTTATCCCTTCTCACCCTTGTTCTCGTCCTGCTCGTTGTTCTCCTTCCTGCCCAAGCCCTCTGCCATCCAACCCAGGCCGCGCTCCCAGGGCCACGATCCTTTGTAAATTACATAGGGGGCTCCGAAGCGATCCCTCTCTCGCCCGTCGCACGGGGACAGCAACTCGAGGCACGCAACCTCTCGGGGGGGGATCGCGGGACGAGCGGGGCAGCCGGAGAGAAGGACGGCACGAAGTAGGATGATTAGAACGGTGATGGTAATGATACTGATGATGATGATGATGATGATGAGGATGATGATG